CGGATTATCATAAGTTAAAGTGTTTTGGTTGTTTGTGTTTTCCCTGGATTAAACCATATGCTAACTATAAACTTGCACCAAAGTCTGCTATGTGTGTTTTTGTAGGTTACTCGGCTGATCAACATGCATAATTGTGTCTCGATCCAACCACTAGAAGGATCTACACCTCTCACCATGTCAAGTTCGTTGAATCTGAATTTCCGTACAGCTCCCTAGTCCCTCAAGCCAGTCTGAGTGCAGAGCAACAACAAGGCCCACTTCAGCTCTCCATACTCCATCCCATAAACCAACCCATGGTCAGTACCACTCTAAACCCACCGGAGGAGGTCTCAGCCCCACCCTCCCCGACCTTGGCCCCACCCTCCACTGGCCACTCCGAGTCGCCTCCCTCACCATTCCCACAATGTTCTGTGCCACCATCTCAACCCGCTGTCAACCTTCACAGGCAACCCCAACCCAATGGGGGTGGCATCATCACCCGGTCTAAAAACAACATTGTCAAAACCCTCAAGAAGCTTAACCTCCATGTCCAACCCTCTCTTCCACTTGAACCCAGCACCATCACCCAAGCTCTTCGCGACCCTGATTGGCGCTCAGCTATGCAAGCTGAGTTTGACGCCTTACACCGCAACAGCACTTGGGAACTTGTCAGTCAGTCCTCTGCTCAAAACTTGGTTGGCTGCAAATGGGTTTTTTGAATCAAACGCCACCTGGATGGCTCGATTGGTCGGTACAAGGCTCGACTAGTCGCCAAAGGTTTTCACCAACGCCCTGGTTAGGACTATACAGAGACATTCAGTCCGGTTGTTAAACCGGTCACCATTCGCATTGTCCTCACACTTGCAGTCATCAAGGATGGTCCATCCGCCAACTTAATGTCAACAATGCCTTTCTTCAAGGGACGCTTAAAGAGGCTGTATTCATGCTCCAGGCCCCTGGTTTTGTCAACAAAAGTTTCCCTGATCATGTTTGCCGCCTCAAAAAGGCAATCTATGGGCTAAAGCAAGCACCCGCGCCTGGTATACGGAGCTTCGCGCGTTTCTCCTTTCTCTTGGCTTTGTCAATTCAACTGCAGATGCCTCTCTCTTCATCTACCAAAAATCAGGTTCCACACTATATTTATTAGTATATGTTGATGATATCATTGTCACTAGGAGTTCCTCTACAGAGCTGTCCAACCTTATTTCCACACTCGTTGCTCGATTTTCACTGAAAGACCTTAGATGTCTTACCTATTTCTTGGGCGTCGAAGTAATTCCTTCCGCTACAAGACTCTTTCTTTCACAAAGGAAATACATCACTGATCTACTACATAAATCAGGCATGGCTAACACCAAATCAGCATCCACTCCCTTGTCCGCCAGTGCTCAATTACTCAAGGATTCCGGTGATCTCCTACCGTCCCCAACTGAGTATCGCGCACTTGTGGGAAGTCTTCAATACTTAAGTATTACTCACCCGGACATCGCCTTCAACACCAACAAACTTGTGCAGTTCATGCACCACCCCAGAACGGCCCATTGGTCTGCCCTCAAACGGGTGCTTCGTTATTTGGCGAGCTCTTGCGACAAAGGCATCTTCATCTCAACAACTACTCCGCTAACCCTTCATGCTTACTCAGATGCAGATTGGGCGGGTGATAAGGATGATTATATCTCCACCACTGGTTACTTGTTGTATCTCGGTAGCACTCCCATCTCTTGGAGCTCCCGGAAACAACGCTCTGTTGCTCGTTCCTCAACCGAAGTAGAATACAAAGCCTTGGCTGACACAGCCACTGAGCTTCTATGGGTCCTATCCTTGTTCACTGAACTTGGTCACCTGCCCACAGCCAATCTGGTTATCTATTGTGACAATCTTGGTGCCACAACTCTCAGCGCTAATCCTATTTTCCACTCTCGGATGAAACATATAGCCTTAGCCTATCATTTTGTTCGTGAAAATGTTCAAAAAGGCAAGTTTCGAGTGTCTTTTGTGTCTACTGATGATCAGCTTGCTGATATACTCACAAAGCCTCTGCTTCGCCCTCGATTTGATTCCTTACTGTCCAAGTTGTGTCTCTCTTCCAGATCATCCAACTTGCGGGAGGATATCAATTATAATAATTAGTTTTTATTAGCCAGCTTTTGCATATCTGTTTTTCCTTTATTTAGGCTAACTGTTAGTGTTAAACTGGTAGAGTTTGTTTCTGTGACTCTTTCAAATTTACATAATCAATTTGTATATTTATACTACTGTAACCCAATGACAAAAGCAGAATATATAAAATTCATTTTAAACATTTTCCTATATTTATAAGTATAAAATTGAGGAACTAAAAGGGGACCCGTAAAACTTTTATTGATCTCTCATAAACATTATCATAAGAAACCAAAAGCTTCACTGAGCCATAAACATATGTGTAATTAGAACTTAGAAGTTGCCATCGAATCAAACTTGTACAAACCAAACAACAAAACACCGTGGAATCATCATCATCTTTGCATCGCATCTGTTAATTACGAGTATACAACCCAGTCAACTCCCGAACGTACCCCTGTCTTTGCCTCTTTCTGTAAAAACCGTAACCAATTTAAGTTTTTAAATAAGAGGGTATTTTTTGAATTTAAAAGTGTGTTACAAAATTTTAAATGGAAAATATCATTGTTATATACAAATTAATAAGGAAAGAATTATAAATTAAAAACACTTTATAGCTACAGATAAAGGATTTATTCAATAATATAAAAATAAAGAGAGAAAATAATCGTATGAATCAATTATTAAAATAATATTATTTATCATAATAATTAGAAATTCATATCTAGAAATATTTAATTAATAATCTTATACAAATTTACTGCAGAGCAGGGACGGTGCATGAATTTGCTGAAATTCTTCCTTTTATTTATGCCACTTACTTTGCTGATAGGTCTATAATATCTATTTCGTCACAAAAATGATTATTATTAGGAGTGTTCATAGATTAAATTTTTAAAAAATTAATTTAAATTTATTTAAAATCTAATTATATAGATTAGATTATAAACTAATTTATTTTAATTTTTTTTAAATTAGTTTAAATTTAGTTTTAAAATTTGAATTTAGTTTAAAATCAGTTTTAAACTGTTTTTACATATAGTAAAAATATACTATAATTTGTTTAATTATTATTAAATTATTATATTAAAAATATTTAAATTTTATAATAAATAATATAACATTATATATATATTTATTAAATATCAATATTTATTAAAGATAAAATATGAATACAAGGAATACTCTAGTTTATTACATTATGTCCAAAAAATATTTATGTATATTTTAATTTATTAATAATATTTTTTTTTTATTTTTTATTAAAGTAATAAATATTTAGATATTTCACACAAATTAATTATATGAGTTAAATTTTAAATTATTTTATTTATTTGTTTAATCGATTTAAAAATAGTTTTCAAATTTAAATTTAGTTTAAAATCAATTTTAAATTTAGTTTTATGTTGTATTAGTTTTAAATCTAATTTTAAATTTAATTTTTAACACAAAATTAATTTTTAATATATTTTTTAATTATATTTTTAAGATAAAACAAATTTATGATATAAAATATTACATTAAATTAGTATATTTCATAAAGATTTTAACAATATTTATTACTATCTTATATTTTATCGAAGTATATAAAATATTTAATATTATTTTTAACTGATTTTTAATAAACAAAGTTTATAGTAAAAATTTAAATTAAAATCTATAAAAATAAAAATTAATAATATAAATGATAAATTTTTTTGTTATAATATTTAAAAATTAAAAAAAACATAAATATAAAAATAAAAGTAGTAATTAATTTAAAAATATTTGTTATATTTTAATAATTTAATTATTTTAAATATTTAATTTTAATTATAAGAATTAAGATTAATAAAAAAACAGTGGTAAATTATAATTATAATAAAATTTTGTAAACTAATGTAATGCTGAAATTTAATAAATAAATATATAAGATTGCTTTATATATATAGATTTGAATAACTAAAAGAAGTTTTAAAAAATAGATTTAGAAACTAAACTTGTTACACAAATATAAATAAAAAATTAATTTAATATGAATCTAGATTTTTAAATCTAATTTGACATTAGTTATGGATTGAGTTTATAAAATTAGACTTGTTGAATATTCCTAATTCATCTATAAATTCATTTAAAAAGGGAAATCTACAAGTGAGAAAAGGAAGGAAGTACTTGCCAAAGAGAGGAAATTCTTTTAAACTAATTTAGACTTCGAAAGCATGTTTTTTCAAAATTGAAGAGAATTTTAATTTGATATTTTAATATAAATTTTACTTTTTTCACGGAAAAATTTCTCCCTTTGTTTTAAACTGATTAATAAATACCTTAATTAATAATATAATTTATCAACTGATTTTTATTATTATTATTATTATTATTATTAAAGAATAGCTTACACAACACTTAATATTCATTATTTATTTGAGATAAAGTTAAAATAAAAAACATTTTAATGAATTTAAAAAGTCACTTAATATAAAAAATATTTTTCTAAAAATGACTCTTACTTTAAAATGGAGTGAATATTTAATAGTATAAAAGTAAATATACTTATCATAACTCATGAATCCATATAATTGTATCATTTAAAAAGAAATACGAATTGTGTAAGGATCCATTAACATGAGTGTATTTCATAAAACTTATATTTATCATTGTGATTTATAATTAGTAATAGATATCAAGTCAAAATTTAATTCCTTGAAAAATAAAATGCGGCGCAATATAATAACAGAAGTTATAGCTAACAATGCACATATACGATAGAAGGATGCAATATAAGCCAATCTAATTCCCTTCACTGCTTTCATCAGTCTCCAACTATGCCAATACAAATACAATATTTTGCTACATTCAAATCTACTTATAAACCATAAATAACCTTAGGCAATCTAGACGATCCTTTTGGAGTTAGTGAAGAGACTTTGGTCAACCTTCTTGGATCAGTCATTCCCTGTGGTGGTGTTCCACAAAAGTGCGATAGGACTTCCAACAATGGTCTTTCCATTCGACCATTCTAATCGTCCAAAACCAAATCGATTCGTCGGTTTTGAACTTGATGCCGTGATCGTCAACGTAAACGATTTTTTCTCATTTTCCTTGAAGCTCAACACGTCTGGCTCAACCGTGATCTTAACGGACGAGATTTCCGACGTAACCGACGCCTTGTACGTTGATGCAGCTCCCACATTAGTCAGAGTCCGCGTGTGTTTAACAACCGGTGCAGCGGACCCACGTGCTGCTGCTGGTTGAAACACCGCACCAAATGAAGGGTAATTTAGGTCTGATACCCTGTAGTGTTTGGCTGGGTCGCACTTGACCTTTCTCTTCGTCACGGTTTCGATCCTTTCGGGTGTGTAGTTCAACGCACAGAGGAAGTTTAGGTAATCATCCACCGTCAAATCATAGATAAGTCCTGGATTAAGCGCGGCGGCGGGGTTCACATGTCCAGCGCCAAGCTCAAACAGTGTAGCCGGTTTACCTGTGGCACCGTCCAGTAACTTCTTACCGTTGCTGTAAGCCGTATAAGCCGTGGTCATCAGCGCGGATCGAATCGCGGCTGGGCTCCAGGCTGGACGAGCCGACTTAATCAGAGCCGCTATCCCACTCACGTGAGGGCATGACATGGACGTGCCAGAGAGGATGTTGAAGTCCACGCGCCTAGTATCTTCCTCTACGTCAGTAGGACCCACAAGCTTCGACCATGCCGCTAAGATGTTGACACCTGGTGCAATGACATCAGGCTTCAGTATCTCTGGTACGAGAAGACTTGGGCCCCGCGAGCTGAACGCCGCAACAACCGGTGACGGCTGGAACCCAACCTGAGTTCCCTGAAACACAATCGTAGCCGTCGGTTTTGGATCGGACAACAAGTACTTCTTGAGGGCTTTTCCTGCCTGGAAACCCACCACAATTGTGGGCAAAAGATGAGCATCAACAATCAAGTCCTCTCCGTTGGCTTCCGAGTTAGCCAACACCATGGCCGCACCACCAGCGGATTTCACCGCAAATCCTTTATCGGTTCTAGAACCCAAACCGCGATCACACAGCACGATCTTCCCCTTAACCTTTTTCGGATCCAAGCTACCCGGTTGACACTCGCTCGATCCTAGTTCCCCTCCGTATATAAACGACAAAGGGGTATTGGGCAAATCATTGCTGCTAAAAATTGACTCTCCGGAATATTTTTTTCCATCCCCAAGTGTAATGTACGACGGGAAACGGCGATCCAGTGTGCCAGCTCCCACGTTGATCATCCATGGTGCTTGGTTCAAAACAGAACCGAGATCAGGACCCGAGTTTCCTGCGGATGCAGAAACTATAATCCCTTTTTCCATTGCCACAAAGGCTCCAATTGCGAGACCGTCTTGGTCGTAAGCGGGTAATCCACCTCCGAGTGATATTGAAATGACATTGACGTTGTCTGAGATGGCCTTGTCCATTGCTGCAATTATATCAGACATAGCACAAGCCTCGCTCCAGCAAACCTTGTAGACAGCGACTCTAGCGTGCGAGGCCATGCCACGTGCCGTTCCGGAGGCGAAGCCGAAAAGGCTCGCGCCATCCACTGGTGACCCTGCGGCTGTGCTCGCAGTGTGGGTGCCGTGGCCGTCATCGTCTCGCGGCGATTTTGACTGTTGGTTGATAACACCCACGGATTTTTCGTAGCCCTTTAGGAAGTACCTGGCTCCTATCAATTTCTTATTGCAGTTTGCGGCAGTGAAATTGGCACCTGATTCACACTCCCCCTTCCAAGTGCTGGGGATGGGTCCCAGTCCTGTATCGTCGAAGCTCTTGCTTTCGGGCCAAACCCCAGTGTCGAGGAGTCCAATAACAACGTCACTTCCAGCGTTTGAGTCGTCAACGAACATATCAGAGATTTTATCGAGTCCGAGAAAGTGCGGCGTTCGAGTTGTGTGTTTCACGAACGTTTGCTCTGGCTGCACCTTTAGAACCCCCGTTCGGGTTTCCAGTAATCTAGCTTCTTTAGATGTTAGGGTTGTTGAGAATCCATGGATGTTGTCATAGATGTAGAGCATTTCTGCTGAGTTGGATACCGATTGCAGAATCGATTTATACCAGAATGAATGGTGGTTAAAGACTGCTGGCATTTCTGATTTGGCAACATAGACTATGTAAGGACCATTATCCTCCTTCAACGTCGCCAGGGATACGTCGGAGAGAAGCAGAAACAAAAGACAAAGAATTGCAACGAGGTGTTTGTTTAACGTCTCCATGCTAACCAGCTTTGACTGAGCGAGACTATGAGAGCAATGTAATAGTAAGGTTGGCTTAATAAAGAGGTTGTTTAATGCAGAGTATGAAACTGTTGCAAGCCAAGTGTGGAGGAAAAATGAGAAGAGAACAAAGAAAGTGGGTGGTAGTTGTCACTTGTCTGGCCTGGTTAATTGAGTTGTTACATTTGAGACAAAAATAGAGTAAAGGAACAGCGTAGAATCGGGGAGTAAAGCAAGCAATTCAGTGCACGTTGCACCCTTCTCTTCTCATGCAGCATACAAAACCAGATTTGCTTGCCTAGGGTGAGCGTTACTGTTGACTACGCTCATCTCTTGGGGATTTATTTCAAGTGTCTTTGAATAAAAAAAATAAAGTATTTAAGAGTTTTCAAAAAAGCATTTAATATTTAAGATTTTTAAAGAAAATAAGAATTTTTTTAAAACTTATGCAATATAACACATATAATAAATAATAAATCATATATATATATATATATATATATGAGAAGAATTTTATCACAATAAATCTAAAAATTCTTACAATTAATATAAATCTTTTATTTAACTTACACATAATAAATTATAATTTATTATTTTATTAATCGTTAGATATAAGTTAAATAAATGTGTAAAAAATTTTAAAGATCATTCTTCTATATATATAAATTTTATTAAAAATTACAAAATTTAATATATTAACACTATTAAATACTTTTTTTTAATAAAAATTTATCATATATAAATTTTTATTATATGCAATATTGAACATAATAATATTAATTTTTTAATATTTTCAACAAGGCATTTATTGGGGATTCAAAAATTAAAAATATTAAATTAATATAAATCTTAATAGTGATTTCAAATGTATAAAACAATAAAATTTTATTAAAAAATATGTATTCTACTCTAATATTTTTATACAATAAATAATTTTATTTTAAAATTATTAAATTTTTATAATAAAATTAAAATTTTAACGCTAATATTTGTTTAAAATATAAATAATTACAGGTAATTTTTTACCCGTAATATTCAAATTTTGAGTTAGGGTGAGATGACACAGTACGACTGTACTTTGACTATTTTAGAATTGAAATTATTGAGAACGTGAGTGTACGTAGAAGGGCCAATATATCTGTATAATATTGTTAACGAATATTATATATTTTTAAATATAAAATACAATTTATGATTATATTTTTTAAATTCTGTAAAATATAATTTTATTTTGTATACAACAGATAGAAAGTTTGTTTTATTTTGTACTTATTAATCTCTATTTCAATCCGTGCTGCAAGCCCCAACCAAACAGTGATAAACAGCAAAGCAAAGTTTGTATATTTTGGAAGAGAAGTTTTATTTATTTTCGGAAAATGCTTTTAGAAAATTGTTTTATATATAACGTCAGTATTTAATAATTCAAATAACGATAAGAGATTTTAAAGAAGCCTTTCACATAAAAAAAAAACTAAGAAATTTTATAGCAGTTAATATTTAAATTTTTTTAAGACATTTATTCATATTTTCAACAAGACATTTATTAGGGTTTCAAGAATTTAAAATATTAAACTAATATCAAGTCTTAATAATTATCTTAAACATATAACGTATATAGTATTTTTATTGACAAATAAAAATAACAATATCTTACGTTCTTTTTTTACATATAATATCAAATGGTAAATAATTCAAATAAAAACAAGATATTTTAAAGAATCATTTAATATTTAAAAATTTTAAACAAATAAAAGAAAGTATATAATAAGTATTAAAAATTCAATATTTTAAATTTTTTAAAGATAAATACACATATTTTAAGAGAGACATTTATTAAGAATTGAATAATTGAAAATATAAAATTAATACCAATCCAAAATAATGATTTTAAACATATAAGATCGTGTTTTTTATTAATAAATAAAATATTTGTTATACTTTTATATTCTATATAATAAAATAATAATATTATTCGATATTTAAAATTAATTACAGGTATTAAAATTAGCATTTTAAAAAAGAATTACAATAATTTTTTACCCAAAACATTCAAATTCGAGTTGGGGTAAGAGTGCTGACGTGGCATAATACCAATGCACTTTTGACTATTTTCAGAATTGGAATTCAAGATCGAGTTAAGTTAAAACAGTTACCATTGACAGGTCTTTATACCCGAGTGTCTTAGTTGTTCGTACATTCATAGATGAAACAAAATATTTTGAAAAATTAAGAAAAGTTATATTTCTATATTTTATATTCATTTATATTTTATTTATTATCGATATTTTAATCATTCATCTCTTGTTAGGTTTGTCCTTTTTATCTAAGGAATTGGTTTTAATGATCCTTAAAATCATTCCAATTAATAAACAAATAAAATAGAAGATTAAAATAAAGAATAAAAATATCAAATTAAAATTAAAAAAATTAAAATATTAATTTAATTTTTAGTTATTATTTTAATTATTTTTTTTATTTTCTATCTGATTTAATTCAGATTTATTACTAAATTTTTTTTACAAATATAAATATTCAATTTCGATATTTACTAAGTAGTATCGAATTAATTTAACTTAAATCATTTATTTGGATGCGTTAAAAATTTGTAAGTGCACGTTAAAGAGTTAATTTGTTTAACATTGTTGACGAAAAGTAAACACTTTTCAATACAGAAATACAATTTAGTATTTACAATGTATTTTTTTTAAAGTGGATTTTTTCAGTTCTATAAAACAGAGTTTGACTCTATATACATACAGATAGAAAGTTTATTTAATTCGATTTATTAATTTCTATGTCAATCCGAGCCGCAAGCCCCAGCCCAAAGCAGCAAGGAAAAACAATGTTGGAATACTTTGACAGAGACCCTTATAAACGTTTTATTAGTTTTAGAATTTTTTTTAGAATGTGTGTATTTAAAAAATAAGAGATAAAAATAATTATACATGATGTTATTATTTAGTAATTCAAATAATAAAATTAAGCTACAAAGTATCATAATTAAGAGTACATGTCATTTTTACTTGTCTTTTTTTATAGACTACTGTTTGGTAGATAAGAAAATAGGAAAAGAAGTAAATAAGGGACTATTATATATTTAAGATTATTACATTATACCAGTTAAGTTAAAAATGATTTTATTTAATTTGTTTAAAATTTTATCGCTCCTCTAAATATATGTGTGTATATATATATCCGTAACCAAAAGCTTCACTGAGCCATAAACATATTTGTAGTTAGAACTTAGAAGTAGTCATCGAATCAAACTTGTACAAACCAAACAACAAAGCACCGTGGAATCATCATCATCTTTGCATCGCATCTGTTAATTACGAGTGTACAACGCAGTCAACTCTTGAACGTACCCATCTTTGACTGTTGCTGTAAAAACTGTAACCAATTTAAGTTTTTAAATAAGAGGGAATTTTTTGAATTTAAAAGTGTGTTACAAAATTATAAATGGAAAATATCATCGTTATATACAAATTAATAAGGAAAGAATTATAAATTAAAAACACTTTATAGCTACAGATAAAGGATTTATTCAATAATATAAAAATAAAGAGAGAAAATAATCGTATGAATCAATTATTAAAATAATATTATTTGTCATAATAATTAGAAATTCATATATAGAAATATTTAATTAATAACTAGATAAATCAGAAATTGAATTTAAATAATAGTATTTGAAAAGAATAACAAAATGTGAGATGTTTAATATAAAATAAATAATGTATTCAGAAAAATATTAAAAAAATTATTACTTAAACAGTGAGAATAACTTTAATATTAAAATAATAATTAAAATAATTAACGATAAAATTATTTTTTATTTTATTTTTAAAAAATCCGGGTTTAATTCTTATAAGAAACTTTACTTCTTAGTTCTTGGTCGGGTTATAAGAAACTTATTTAAGGAGCCAAGCAATCCTAGCCCCTCAGTATCGGTCGATTTCCCTTGGGCTTTATGAATCTTTGTTATCTTGCCGAAAGTTGTTGGGCTTTATGAGTCTGCGCTGTCTTGTTTTCATTTACCTAAACAGATGTGTTGACAAAAACCAGAAAAACACAGATAGATATGTTTCTTTTCATGGTTGAAATGGGTAGATTTCGGTGTTTCCTGGTTTATTTTAGTTTACAACAAGTCAGAAATACGTATTCCTTTTCAGTAAAAAGACAAAAATATAATTAATTTCTACCGGATCTTTATAATGAAGATATTTTATTTTTTTACCTGTGTATTAATCATTATTATTAATTTTATATTAAATATGTATAATAGAAGTGAAAAGTTAATGATCTATTTAAAAAATATAATTTTTTAATTTTTAAATAATAAAGAAGTATGCCGATTAATTTAAAAAAATAAAATATTTTCTCAAATTTACATATGAGATAACAAATAATATATATATATATATATATATATATATATATATATATATATATATATATATGTTTTCTTCCCATGTTTGGGGTCTTTGGTATGTTGTTTTTTTTTTGGCTGAATTATTCGTACCCGTATAACTGTGAAATTCTGTATGTAAGCTTACTGTGATTACGATCATAAAGGTTTGTAGCGGAAATTTTATTTAATTTGGAATATATTTTTACACTAAACTGTTTTGTGGACAATAAACTAAAAGTATTGTAAATATGTTAAAGGTAAGATGTTTATTTATTTCACCATTTCAAACCAAAAATCACACTATAATTGTCATCAACACTGTTTGGCTTGCAAATAAGAGCAAAAAAGAAAAATGCAAGGAAATTAACAGAAAAAAATATTAAATTTTGAAAACAAAATATAATTTATTATTATTTGAATTGATAACAGAAATATAAAAAATTAAAAATTACTTTTACCGTTGATAATGTCTTTGTAGAAGAAAAAATATTAAAAAACATTTTGTTTTCTCTCTTTCCTATATACTTTCTCCATACTGAGTGGAGGGAAGAAAAAGTAGGAGACACACTTCAGTTTCTTAAAAAAAAACAAATTAAACTTAAATATATCATTAGAAATTTTACCTTTGTTTAATTAACAAAATAAAACGAATGTTAGAGTTAAATATAATAGAATAGAATTTCTGTATCTCACATTCCAAACTAATTTGATCTGATCAAAAGTTTTTCTTGCTTTAAAAATAAATTAATCCAACAAAAAAAACAAATTTCGTTGAAATTATGGAATTTTTTCATGACGTATGCAATAATAAATCATTAAATAATATTTTTTATAAAAAATATAATATTTATTTGGTAATAATATATATATAATATTAAATGTAGTAGATATGCTAGATTATATGATTTTTAATAAAAAAAATATTATATGCAAATTTTTAAAAATAAAAATTTTATTTCTTGAAATTTAAGAATCAAAACTCTTCATAATTTTTAATTTAAAATAATATTAGGAATAAATTTTTTTCTATTTTAAATTTAATATTTTTAAAAATAATATTTAAAAATGTATTTCTCAAAATTAAAAACTAATATTTTGCAAAAATGAAATATTATTTTTTTACCCCAAATTCAAAATCAATATTTTCAAATAATATTTCATCATACATCCTTTAAATTAGTCCTTTCACAAGGACAAAAATATTTCTGAAATGTTAAAGTTAAAATTATTTTTTTTAATAAAAGATACTTTCTATAGCTTTTACAAATCCATTTTTAAAAACTGACTTTAACTTATTTATTGTACTTGAAAATACATAAGAGTAAAAATTGAATTTATCAAGCTAAATAATCATTTAATTTTATGTTCTTCTTTTACTGCTCCTTTTTTTTTTTTTTATGTCAATCTTCTCTTGAACATTTAAGAGCCTTATTTTATACCCAAACAAACATCCTCAGTGTACAATTACAAAATCATTAGGCTCGGGCACCACCCTTTGGGCCCAAAGCAAACTGACACAAATGTTCCATGCTAACGCTTTGTCCACATCGATATTCGCTTTAAAATACCCCACTGGACCCCACCCCGTGAGGCATCATCCACAACATTAACATCAAAAGCGACTGTAGAGACGCCTTGTCCCTGGTAGTGGCCCAAAACATCACACACAGACACACTTCCTTTCTTCACCCTCCAACAAGTAAAAGACATTATCTTAGGTCGCCTGCACTGCACTTCACCGATTACTTCACTTCTCTAAACCAAACACCATTCCCCACTTTAGTGCACGTCAATACTCCGCTTTATTGCCCTTTATATTCCAAACTCCCTCTGTCACTCAACTCTCTCACACATCCCATTATCCACTCACTCTTCAAATATCTCCACTTACATTCTCACTACATATCCTAATCTTATATCTTACCCCTTCCCCTCCCATTCACAACAGTTTTAACCCAACCCGTACCTTTCTCACAATGGCCACAAATAATAGTGCCGAAGAAAAACTAGAACACCTAAGAGAAGAGGAGGAAGAGGAAGAAGAAGAAGCATTGTCACTTTGCGATCTTCCTGTTAATCTAACAGCCCACGAGGATCATTCAAAATCAAAACCAGCTTCTCAGCTCATTGAAACCCAAGAAGAATTCGATTTTCCTTCATGGGGTGGCCCCTGCTCCAAAGAATCCGAAATGTGTGTTGCAGATGAAGTTTTCTTTCAAGGCCAAATTCTTCCCTTGCGTCTTTCACTAACAACCCCTTCCTTCCAACGTGATAGCCAGCAATTTAAGCGATGCGAATCATTTTACAACGGTTCTGTTTCAGCGAGTGAGTTTCGAAGCAATAGCAGCAGAAGCAGCAGCCTCAGAAGTCAGAATTCGTCTAGTAGCAGCTGCTCCACCGCCACTACAAACCCAAGAATTTCCAAACTCAGAATTCACACGCATCCAAATCCCCAACCTCAACTGAAGGTAACCGTTCCAAGACAATCAAACTTCGGTGGAAGAAAATCATCAGCATGGGAATTTTTCCGTCTGGGTGTGGCGCCTGCACCCGAGATAGGATTGCAAGGTCTTAAGGTTCGTCGTACTAGTAGTAACGGCAGCCGCAATAATAATAATAATAATATAGATGCAAATATCAATGCTAAAAGCGTCAAAATGAGTTATAACACTAATCACAGAGGTAAGATAAATCATGTTTTCAAACAGTTTGTTGGCAAAGGTAGTGGTTTATGGAGTGGCTGCAAGTGTTCTGTTGAAACAGTGCAATCGAACATAGTCATGATTAAGAGTGATATTAAAAGCGCAAACAAGGCAGAAAGCACAACGCACGCCATGAAAGAAAAAGTGCTCGAATTGAAGAGGCAGAAACACAGACAAAAGCAAGAAAAGGGGACCATGTCACGTCGTAGAACATTTGAATGGGTAAAGGAGCTTTCGCATGCAAGCTATTCCGATGAGGAGGCTTTGTTATCTAACCCTTGAATAGTGTGGTTGGTCGCATGCTTGTAATTTAGTTTTGATTTTAGATTAGATTGCCTTTATAGCCGCTGTCTTTTGTTTCCTTTATTTTTAATTAAATTATAATATCGTTGTGGAGACTGTAATCAAAATTTCTTACTCTCGTGAGAATGATAGATTTCCCTTTTCATTTCCCTTTATGACTGACGATGATTGGTCGGGTGACATCTTTAGCGAGTGATAAGGCCACGCATAAGCGGTGACAGTTTGTTGCTTGTGCTTGTCATGATTGAAGGAACTTCGATGCTTTATGACGTGAAATAATGATCGAATTTTTTAATGTATGTTAAAAAAATGATAAAATTTTTATAAAAAATATAATAAATAATATTATTAATATATTAAATTTGATGATATTGTATAATTTTCTAAAATTTATTTTATAAATATTATTATGTATCTTTGCATATGTATTAAAAATATAAATAAAAAATATTTACATATTTAAAAGTTTATTCCTTTTTATTTTTTAATAATAAAAAACATTTCAATACTTTATTTTAATCTTGAATAATTATAATTCCGATAAATTAAATATTTTATGCGTAAATATTTTTTAAAAAAATATATGCAAATTGTCTCATAAATTTATTTTAAAACAATAGTAATATTTACAATTGGTATTCGTAACGACCAAAACGTTTACAATCCCAATTATAATGATGCACAAGTATATATTTTTTTCAACCGATCACATTTTTCGATAAATAAAGGTCCAAAAGATTAAAAGGCTAAAGTGGTGAACTCATATATTTTGACAATAAAAAAATAATTTTAAAATAATACGAAATTTTAAATAAATATTTTTACATAAAATAAACAAATTTAAATAACTTAATTAAAAAATATTTTTTATTTTATTTAATTTTTTATTCATAATTCTATTCGTACTAAATTCTCACTCTAAAAGTATATGTCATTATTACTTTAATTGTTTTTTAAAATTTTTGTTCCAAACTAATTACAAATATCTGAATTTAGTACACCTAGTAAGTGTATATTTCAAATCCACTTAAAATCACGTTAAACTAAATTTTAATGTGATTTATAACTTGCAGACGAATGTGACGCATAGCTAAACACTTTATAAATCAAATTATTATTATTATTTTAGACAATTTGCCAGATAGTTTTTTTTTTTTTTTCAAAGTTCATAGATTGCAAGATAGCAAAGCCAAGAAGATTTCATCCGCCAGTGTGGCAGCTGATGTACGACAGAAAGGTTGGGATGAGTTACCTTCTCATTTTATTTTTAATTTCGTTTTTTATCTTTAATAAATTTAAATTAAATTTATTTGTTAACTAACTAGTATTATTCTCTTTTGAAATTCTACCTTTCATTTTTATTGACATTTTATTTTTATTTGTTTACTATTTTAAGTTTCATTATTCTTCTATTATTACTTTTTTCAAGTGTATTTAAAGCTGAGTTACTTATTACATACATCCATTATTTTGAATATAATATTAAAAGTTTGGTTTATTATAAAAAATGACATGTTTATTATCGACTATGAACACTGAACTTTTTAAATTAACATTATATAATTCTAAAACCAAGTTTGCAAAATTAGGTTTTTATATTTTAAAAAATTAATTTTCAAAATTATTAATCATTTTAAAAATATATTTTGAAATTATAATTTTACACTTTTAAAAATACATTTTTGGAATTAAATATTTACACATTTAAATATTCACTTTCATAAAAATTAAAAATTTCCAAAAATAAATTTTAAGAATTAAGATTCTATATTTTTGGAAGTGTAAAATTTTAATTTTAAAAACTTATTTCTGCAATTATAAAATTTTAATGCTATATATTTCCGAAAATAATTTATAATTATGAAAATTGATCTAAATATGTCAAAACTTATTTGAGAATATTTTTTGTTGTCTGAGGGTATTTTGAAGAGAAAATTTTTATATTTTTAATAGGAATATGAAAAGGGGAAAAAAAATACAGAAGGTAACTCCCGGTTGGAATGGGAGGTCAGCTCAAGTCTTATTCACTGAAGCCCAGCCCAAATATCAAGGGTTCAGGATAACTTTCCGGGATACATACGTTGGAGGGCCAGTTGACAAAAACATTGGAGGGCCTAAAAGGATACAAAAAATTAACTGGAAGTGAAAGATCGAACAATTTGGGGAAAACATATTTATCAAGTTTATCAAGTCATGTTGACAAAAAGAGTTCACCAAGAAAAATAGGAGTTTGTCAAGTATAATGAGCAGAAAACAATAATTTCAAATCACAGTCATAGATTTGTCGACAAGCTTTTGTGTTTAATTTTAAGGTAAGAAGAAATTAAAAATAAAAGTATGAGGAAAGATAAAATGTATAACTAATTTTTTTTGGTTATTTAGATTGAGGGAAACAAAAAAAAAAAGAAGAAGAAAAAAAGAAATATAGTTTACTTTTATTTTCAGTTATTTAGTTAAATAGAAAAGGCAAAAAAAATTACAATTATTAATAGTTTTTTTTTAATGAGAATTATTTTAATATCTTGTCAAATAACTATTATTATAACACAGTACATTTCAAAATTATTTTTCACAAGTTTTTACGATGACACTATTTATTTAATATTATTACTACACTGTAAGTCTAATATAAAATAAGATTTTAATATTTAATTATTATTATAAACATGACGTAAATACATTTTATATTGCTCAGTGCTTGTTTCAGTACAAGTTTCTCACTTTCTTACAAAATGGGTATATAATAGTAAAACTAAATTAATTACAGATATCCATTTATTATGTAGCCATAATATATATGGGGGTACTGATTATCCAAATTCCAAAACAAGTGTTATGGATGACATTATACGTTGCCATCAGATACATGTTCCAAAACGTGCTAAACACCTAAACCCCGCGCAGAGAACTTGCATCACAGTGCCTAGCCCCTTGATGTAAACTATTTGGGCATACTATATCCTTTTATTTTCTCAGGATATATCCAAATATCCAGCCACATTCATCCTAGAATTTTCGGTTAAATAATTTTTGTCTAAGAAGCACATAAAAAACTACCATTTTGTTTAAATTAAAGGACAAGCAAACAATATTGTTAAAAATTGTTTTAAGTAATGCAATGCTCACACTTGAATGACTTAAAAATTGTTTTAGCAAGGAAAATTTGACCAACAGGTTCAATACATAATATTTTTCTGTCATTAAGTAATCTAAAAAACGGTTAATTTCTAACCATACTGTTATCACATTATCTACGTTTCCGACTGGTTCTTAGAAAAAGTCTTCCATCGGATCTTTAATAGTTTTGGATATATTTGGACTTGAACTAATTATACGAAAAAATGTATAAGAAAACGGTGTATAAAATATGTTGTCCGATAAAGTTTAATAACATTATTCGTACATAGTTGTTTGTATAATATTTAACACTAATACTCGTTATAAATAATTACTAAATGTACTATACCAATTTTACAATAATGCACTCCCAAAAAATATATATAAATTCTAGCACCGTTATCTCTCTTTTGACTTCTAACCTTATCACTTATCACGCCAACATGCAATACGGCCATGGACTACCTCACTTATCACTTATCACCTATTACTTTCAGTTAATTTTAATAAGGGGCCCACCCATTACTCTTGGTCTCCTTAGGGCGGGGTAGCCTTTTATTTACTTTTGACCAAAAAAAAGTAATTTTCTTTACAGAAATTTCATAAGTAATGCATTGTTTAATTTAAAGGAACAAAGAAAAAGACTTTAATCAAAGAAAAAAGAAAAAAATTAAAATTTTATTATATATTTAAGATGATTAAATAAAATTATTAAATTAAAAATAAATTTTCTTACTCAATTTAAAAAGTTTTATTAGCTTTTAATTTTTTATATTTTATGGAAGAAAACTAAAATAAATAATATTTTTTTTAAAAACTTTAAAGAAAATATAAAATGATGTATTTTTTTAATTCTCTTTTTTTTTTCCCATTTCTATCTAGTTAAATATCATGGTGTAAATAAAAGTTCAAAGAGATATGTGATAAAACATGCATTTTTTTTGTTTAAAGTAAGAGACCACAGAATATTTTCAGATTAAAAAAACCCAAGACTAACCCTTTTCATACTTTATGACTACCTCTACACATAAAAAAAGCAGCAGCAATCTTATAAAAAAGAAAGAGGAAAATAAAATAATAAAAAATAATACGAAAATTCTTAGTCACCAAGAATTGCCCCATTAAGAATTTCAGTCTATCACCCCACAGTATCGTCTGCATATATTTCTACATTTAAACGCGGAATTCACACGTTCTTCTCTTCCATTTTCTCTCTCCATCGGTCAAGAAATCATAGTTTCTTCCCCAACCCAAATCTCACTTCCTCGTTTGTTCAAGTACCGTGGACCACAGTGACCACACCCAACGACACAGAGAAACAGAGAGAAAAAAAGATGTTGGAGCTGTGCCGCAGGCAACTTGAGATGTGCTTTGGTGGTGAAGGCAACGACGATGATCTCCTCTGGCACAACGAGTCAAAGCCCCATGCTTCAAGGGACTATTCAATTGCAGTGGTTCAAGCCAATTCCTCCTTGGAAGACCAAGCCCAAGTCTTTACCTCTCCCTCCGCAACCTATGTTGGCGTATACGACGGCCACGGTGGACCCGAAGCTTCGCGTTTCATCACCAACCATCTTTTCAACTTCCTTAGCAGTAAATAAATAAATAAATAAATAAATAAATAAATAAATAAATAAATAAATAAATATATATATATATATATATATATATTTTTTTTTTTTTCTATCTATTAGTGGTTTAGGGTTGTCCTCATAACCATATAATTTTAAATTTTTGACATAAAATGCTGAAAGTGATTATTCTTCCTGGCAGAGTTTGCGACAGAGGAAGGTGGTTTGTCGGAGGAAGTGATAAAGAAGGCTTTCGAGGCAACTGAAGAGGCGTTTTTGCGTTTAGTGAGGCAATCGTGGATTGCACGGCCACAGATTGCTTCAGTGGGTTCGTGTTGCCTTCTGGGAGCGATTTCGAATAACGTTCTTTACGTTGCTAATTTGGGGGATTCGAGAGCGGTTTTGGGTCGTAAAGCATTGAAAGGAAAGGTGAATTGTGGTCCTGTGGTGGCAGAGCGTTTGTCCACTGATCATAATGTTGGAGTGGAAGAGGTCAGAAAGGAGGTTGAGGCTCTTCACCCTGACGATGCACACATTGTGGTTTGCACTCGTGGAGTTTGGCGAATCAAGGGCATTATTCAGGTATAAATATTAATTGATTGAACTTCTTTCAAAAATTTTATTCTTCCTCCTTCGGTATTCTGTTCAGTTGCTTAGTGTTTGCAAATCAATTTACTTAAAATAATTGTCAGTCTCTGTTTTCTCTTTATAAATGAGCTTAGTGAGTGACGGGAATAAACAAGATCAGCTAACTTCAGCTTCATTAGCACTATTTAAGTGATTTCTCTTTAGAAGTTTGCTTATCTTCTTCATGTAATTTTTTAAAATAATTTCTAGTTTCAATTTGGCGTGTTTGAGCTTCTTGGAATTATAGTATACCTTGCCATTCGGTAAGGTCATTAGGCAATTCAACTTTACCACGCATTATATTCAACTCTGACGTTAGAAATCAATAAATGGGGGCGAAATTTAAGCTTGTATTTATTTTGCTCCTTCTTTTAGCTTGTTTCTTAGCTTTATCTCACTAAACAGGGGTACACAATTAAATGGATGTGATTTTCTTTTCTCTATAACATATACCTTCAAGACAAATCAAAAGAACTTTTTCTCTTTTGGATTGGGAAATAAACATAAATTCTTACTTAGTTTAATCTCTGTTCTTCATTTAATGTGATTATGATTTTGAGAGATAAGGAGTGCGTTGTTTTAGCTTTCGTCCTAAACGATTCCGCCTAAGGAAGCAAATGTTCTTAAAAGTGAGTGTTATGCTCAATATTTCTTCTCCCTTCCGTGTTTTGAGTCATGTCACATGCTTTCATCTTCTGTTTTCGTGGCATGATGTGTTGCGTGAATCAATGATGTGATTTTATGCTGAGTTACTGTTCCTGATCTTATCTTGATATTAAATATGTCTGCATTTTAGGACAATTCTGAGTGGAGCGTGTTATTGGTTTCTCAATGGACCTTCGTGGTCTGATTCTGTAACCAGTAATCACGCTGTATTTTTGAAGAATTATACTTTGAAAAAAAAAATCGTACAGCATTTCTCCGCAGTCGGTGAGTACGAAATGTAGAATGGATCATCATTTGTGAATCTTTGGTGGTCAAACTCGTGGTGTAAAATTGATATGCATTCTTTTATGATGGATGGTCATCAACTTTCGCATGTTTTGCCAGCTTGACCTTTTTCAGGGAGCTAAAATTTCCAAACCGTATGTTACATTTTAAATTAGAATAAATCTAAATACTCTTACATTTATTCTTACAAAATTTCTTAATTATTAAATAAAAAATATTAAATATATTTTAGATAATATAAAAGTGGTAAATTCTTTAACTGCTTTTGCCTTATAGGTCTCAAGATCCATTGGAGATGTTTACCTAAAAAAACCAGAGTTTGACAACAATCCTCTGTTCCAACAATTTGTATGTCCGCTATCTTTGAAGAGACCTGTAATGACAGCAGAACCATCGATATTGACGCGAAAATTGAAGGCAGAAGATCTGTTTTTGATCTTTGCATCAGACGGACTTTGGGAGCATTTAACTGATGAAGCAGCTGTTGAAATAATATTCAGAAGTCCCAGAACAGTAAGCATCCATGCAAAATTTTTTTTACTAATATTACATATGTACATCCCTACACTAAAAAAATAGCCATATAACATATATTAACGGATTGATCTCTGGTGATATAATATTTTTTAAACAAATAATAAATTGTTAAGCTTTACTGATAATATGATATACTATATTATGAGTCCATTGATATAGATTATTGATACGAATACTTTCAAATCTTCTTATGACATCTTATCTTCTCATTTATTAAATGAAAAAAAAAAGATATCTAAAATTTTTTGTTTTCAATATAGTAATTACGTTTTTTTTTTAAAAAAAAAAGTGAATTAATAAAAAGATATTGTACAAAATATAATATTACTTTGTTAATATATATTATTAATACATCAATTTTTAATAAAAATGTATGACTATAATGTATCATACTCTTCTTATAATTTTCTAATATATCAATTATTAATAAAATTTCTGTTAATAAAAAATATATTAAAAAATATAATTTTAATGCTTACATTTTTTACTCTTAGTAAATAGATTTTTTTTTGTGCTAATAGGCGTTTAGTACCTGAATTTTGGAGCCAGCTTTAATGCCCCTCCCTCCCATTAGTTGGACATGTATTCCTGACCTAGAGATTCGATTGATATTAAAAGGTGTGAAATTCCATTGTAGGGAATAGCAAAACGGTTGGTGAGAGCTGCATTGGAAGAGGCTGCAAAGAAAAGAGAAATGAGATATGAGGATTTAAAGAAAGTTGAGAAAGGTCTAAGGCGTCATTTTCATGATGATATTACAGTGATCGTTCTATACCTGGATCATTCACAAGAATCTCTGAAGGGGAGGTCAAGCCATCAAGGAGTCCATGGTTGCATTGATACTCCTGTCGATGTCTTCTCGCTGAAATCAGATGAAACTGACCGGTGAACTCAATAAGCTACTAGCACTAGAGTCTTGACTTCTTTTTACCTAGAAATTGGTCAAATATAAAATGATAGTAATCAGCGTGGCCGGATCGAAGAGGTTGTAAATGTGATGTAAATTGGCAATTGCTGATTAACGATGCTGACAATGTGGTGCTGTAAAAGAGTGGTCATCTTTTATATTGATGGTATCCTTTTCATTTCTCAAGGAAAATTGATAAAATTCTGTTCATTGAAAGTTTTGAATGTATTAATGATTTTAAAATAAAATTTATATTATAATAATTTTAATAGTTGGACGAAAGAATACGAGGATAAATTGAAAATATCCAAAGTCAGTATTATTAACATGGTGGTGGCTGTGGTTGGATATTTTAGAAGTACAAAAATATATTCCTTCATAAAGAAATACAATCATGACCCTTAAATTGGTGATGATAATACTTTTAGGCTAAAAATGAGAAACAATGTCTTGTGTATGGTTGAGATTTTGAATGAAAAAAAATTATGATTGGAGAGGCTGGAGACAACCTAAACTTCAAACTTCTTGCAACGCGTTTAGGCATAGGGCCGGGCAATTGAGCACGAAGCATTGGTACCAACCTTACACACAAGAAAAATTGCATCTATAGAATTTTTTTAATTTGTTTTTATAACAAACAAAAGAAAAATATAAGGTAATTGAATTGATTTTATATACTTCATGTTTGCCATGAGATTGATGAGAACCTTAAATTTAATGATTTAACTAATAAAAAATATTTAATTAAATTTAACATTTAATATCGTTTAATCACACCTATATATAACTCACAATTGAAAGAAAAATAAAAACTTATGGATTCGAATAAAGTTAGTCTGCTTAAGCTTTGAATTTCACATATTTATCGAGTCAATCTTAAATCAGGATTCTCTCCAATAACATGACTCTCATATTAATGTCATATTCACACTAAAAAATGAGGGGATCTGATCCATTAATTTTATATAATTACAATAATAAATACATAAATTTTAGAAAAATAGTTATCATTAGTCATATAATACTTTGTTATTTTCGTTTTCAACCTCTTTTTAGTCTTTTTTGTTAATTAGTTTATTTTATAAATTGGTTATAGTTTATTTACAGGAATTTGACTTAATTATTTTTTTTATTTGTGCCGATTAATGCATTCTTTCAGTTTTTCTATTATGTTATATTTAATTCTTTTAAAACACTTCAGTCAAGTTTTCTTATTATTTTTACCAAACAATCTTCATTTTATTCAAAGAATTGAGAATTTAGGATGAATTTAGAATGATAAAGAAATTTTGAATGGTTCAAAAATTTTATAATAAATTGGTTGTAAAATATTTATATATTTTGAGGGATTTTTTTAATAAAAAGTGATATTGTGATTTTTTTTTAAAAGAGATGAAATTTGAATTTTTTCTGCTTTTAAGTAAAATATGATGTTTTAATTCGTCAGTGTTATAAAGATAATTTAATCAATTTAGTTTATAGTTGTTTTAAATATAAGATGTGATGACTTGAGGATTTTGGTTTGCGAAAAATTGAAAAACAGACTTTATTACAGTGACTGGAAAAGTGTGATTAATTCAGTCAAACCAATATAGAGCGACTAAAGTCAGTAAATAGCGCATCAATCAAAATAGAGAAGAGCAATCAAGTTAAGAATATTATTAAATTTTTATAAAAATAGAAAATATATTTAATCAGCTACTTCACTTCTCTCTTTCTCAGTGAAGAGAGAACGCTTTTGAAAATCATACTTCATATTGCATGAGTATTAGTTTTTTTAAAAAGAGCAATAATTATTTTTTAACTCATTGAGAAAGTCTTTGAAGAAAAAAGGTTCATAGAATTTTTATTCATTCCCTTTTTAATTTGAGTTTTCTTCAGTTTTGGTAAAAATTGTATTTTACAGTTTAAATTTATTTACACGAATTTAACAAAAAAAATAATTTTTATTTAAGTTAAAATTGTGAAAAATTTTAAAATTTATTTTTTTAATTACAAAATTTTTTAATAAACTTTTATTTCTTGTCAATAACTATCTAATTATCAAAGATCTTTGTACATGTTATTCCACAAAATATTTTAAATATATTGTCTATTATGCTACTTGTATTAAGCATTGGTAAGATATAACCATTTAGAATTGAGTTAAATAGTTAAGAAAGATGATAATAATTATAAGGATGATGACTTTGAAAAATGAGTTGAAAAACTGTTATAGTATTACACGATCTTGGATTCTTATGTCTTTGTAATATGATAATTTTTACTTTGACGAATTTTATTTTTTTTTAAGATATAATGAAACTAGGAGTATTAAGTTTTGTTTGAGAGTTTGGAGGGGAAAGGAGGTGAAGGGTTTGAAAGGAGAAAGAGGGGAAAGGAAGGGAATGTGAAGGAGGTTAAATCTCTACCTTATTGGATGTTTAATATTGAAAGAGGAGGGTGATAAGGAGTTTAATTATATTAAATGATATTATATTTTATATCTTTTATTTATATTTTTTTTACAAAAAATAAAAAATAAATATTTTTCTTTCTCTAAAATTAATATTTTTAAATTTACTATTTTTATTTTTTATAATTTTTTAAAAAATTATCACTTGAAAAATTAACACTTTTTTTAAGTTGGAATTCTATTTGTGAAAGAGTATTAGAGAGTGAGAATCCTCAAAATAGAAGAACTCAACAAATAAGGATTATGAGGGTTTAGAGAAACTCTCAAAACTTTTCTCTCCTAATTAAGCAACTCTCAAACAATAATTAATCTCTTCTAACCCCCTCCTTCCCCTCCCCTCCTCTCCTAAACACAATTTCCAAATATAATCTTAATAAATTCTTATTATACTTGTGTTTTTGTTACGTTTCATTTACTAAGCAGACTCTTTAAAAATGAAGTCATTTATACCTCACAAAGGTTCTTCAAATTATCTGTAGTTTATATAAGAAGAGATGGAGTTTTGAATTTTTCACAATTTTAACTTAAGTTAAAATTAATTTTTTACTAAATTAATTTAAGCAAATATTTTTCTTAAACCAAAATTACTTTTTCGTTAAATTTATTTAAGCAAATTATTTTTTTTAGACTTTGTTTAGATGTAAAGAAAAAGAGAAGGAAAGAGTTTGAAAGAGGAAAAAGAGGAGAGGAAGAGAGGTTAAATCCTATTTTGTTTGAATATTTAATATTGAGAGGAAAGGGTAACAAAGGATTTAATCATAAATAATGTTATTATCTTTTATATCTTTTATTCATATTTTTTTTTTAAATTAAATAATTTTATTTCTCTAAAAATTATTATTATTATTTTATAATTTTTTTAAAAACTTCTTACTTTAAAAATCAATATATTTTGAATAAAAATAAAATTTTAATCATAAACAAACACTAGAGAGTAGGAGAGAAAAAAATCCCTATAATAAAACTCAAAAAACTAAAGTTAATAGGATTTTTTAGAGGTTTAGGAAGACCCATCACCATTTCTCTCCCGGTTAATTAAAGTTCAAATAGAAGTTAAACTTCACTAATTCATTCCTTTCCCTCTCCTAATATACAAACATAGCCTTAAGTGAATTTAGACTCCGGATTCCACTTCTCGCCAAAAGTATAGAAGATCCAAATTCCTAAATTGACCTCATTCATGTTTACCTCACTTAATCTATATCTAAGGACAAGGTTCCACTTATAGTTAAGTTTGCATCATCTCTCGTAGACGTAGTTCGTGTAGGCTCGCAGACAATCAAACTAACTATAAAAGGTCTATTTTGCGCTTAAGCTTGCATATGATTTTAAATTAAACAATTTATGCGACATATATACAATGGAACAATTTTTTCACAAATCCTATTCCAACCCCATTACCTAATATCAAGCTATATATATTGCAACTCCACTGTCAAATACCAAACTCTATTCTAACAATGTTATCATGTTCAATGAAACAAAATTTTCACAATCTTACATTTTCTTCTTCTTAGACTTGCAAATGACTCGAAAAATATTTTAAAAACAACTTAAAACTAAAAATAATGTATCAACAAGGTGTGCCATGTTCATTAGGATAAGCGGGAGTATTTTTGGGGCAAAGGTTGGAATGAGAGGCATGCATCCAACGACGATGTCAACGAGAATTACTAAAAGTCCAAAAGCATAGGTAATAGATGATGCTCCTTAGGACTTTAACGAGAAGTTGTGTTGTATCACTGGGTTGCAATATATCATTTCGTGCGATGACAACGACCTATGAAATGGGCGTCAAGGTGTGGAGAAATGAGGGAGAAGAATGTGTTGGTGGGTGGCATTCTATTTCTATCACTATTATACATGGCAAGAAGAGAAAAAAAAAATGGTAGGATGGTGGGGGACTTTGTGAGTGGAGTGATTGACCAAGAAGGACTAAAGCAAATAATTAATGAGGGTAACTGCTAACTGGGGTTTATGAGTTATCCCCTTTATTCTTTATTTGGATTAATTTTTTGAACATTTAAAGTGATCAGTTTGTAGGTTGGTGTGCAGGTTTGGAAACCAAACTCGTTTAGCATAAGCTCACATCTAAATGGAATTGGGATGACGATGGTCAGAAAAGTGCCTTATGGACATCCACAAATTTTTTTTACAATGAATAAGATATTTATTCATTAGACATATATATGCTTCAACTTTATTTTATAACTATATATTAAATTTTTATATTATTATAGTTATATAAAATTAATATAAAAATATATTTAATAATAAAGTAAATCAAAAAAATTATTTTAGTTTATATTTTTAATAAAAAAATTATTAATTATTTTATAAGGTTTAATTAAGTTAATACAATTTAATTATTATATATTTGATATGAGATTGACTTTATTTTAAAATATTATTTATATATAACACACATATAAAATATTTTTCACACAAATATTTTTATTAATAAATCATATTGATATTTAAATCATAAAGTGAATGATAAATAATAAACATATTGTAAATATTTTATAAATTTTACAATCACTTATTATTATCGTAAGCTTATTATTTATTGATAATATTTAAATTTTATTTTATATTTCAATTTAAAATAATATTTTTCTATGCAACATGTACATTACAAGTACAACTATAATCTATTGAATCTAAATAATATTATTTTTACCATTTACTTACGTTCAAAGAAGTTTTTGAAAAGATATAAAATATAAAAAAATATTATTAATTTTTTCTTCAGATAAAAAAGTATAATTTTTTTTTATATACACGTATATTTCTTATTATAAAATTTTATTGTGACCATTTATCTTTTATTCGAATTCTTTCTTTTAAAATTTATATACATTATAAATATTTAATTTATTAAAACAAATTTTCAAAAATTTATAGTTAAAAATACTAGTATTAATATATATATATATATATATATATTATTTTAATTAAATCCGTTATTTTTCTTACAATTTTAAATTCAAAAATTAAAAAAATATTTTATGTATCCACTTTTTATTGTCGTTCAGTACTTGAACTTCTCTGCTCTAACTCTATTCTCATTCTTAATGTTTACTTCATTAAAACTTAGCAACTATGAAACATTATTCATTAGAGTTAGTTGTCAATGTCGCCACAAGAGGTCATCAAGTGATCCCACACGAAGGGCCATTCATTATACAGATCTATTTCGTTATAGCTATAATGTTGCCTATCGATCGAATCTCACACAAGATAGGGTCATTGCTGACAAATATTTTGTGTGTTTAGTTTTGTTTACTTTTTTTAAGAATTTTAGTTTAGAAAATTATTGTATTAAGATACAATTAACACTTGTGATATTTGAATATTTATTTTTTCATCTATGTTTGTACCTTGTTCGACAACTACTTATTAAATTTTTGTATTATTATGTTATTTATGTGAAGTTATATAAACATATTTTTCTTTGTAAATATTTTTTTTTCTCAAACAAGTGCAGGTAATGAATACAAGATAGATATATAAGTGTCCAAAGGGTACAGGTACGGGATTAATGTTCATAACCACACGAGTATGGGTTTAAGTAAGTGTATTTTTTTAAAATACGAGTGTGGAGATTTGTGCTACAGTGCTCTACCCATTGCCATCTCTAAAATAAAATAAGATCAAGCTAGTTGCATATTTTACAAACTGATTTATGAAATGAAACTCATTAGCCCAACTTTACTTGAGACAATGTAATTTGGTTGGTAGAGTTTCATTGTAACAAGAGATAATATATAGTTAAAAAATATATTTTAAAATTAACAATGTTAAATATTTTTAGTTATATTTTCAAATAATTATTATTTATTATTGAGCTTATAAATCAATTAATAAGAAGTTATTTCAACTTAATTTGTAATTTTAAGTTTAAGTAAACAAAATATATGTAATTTAGAACAAAATTATTTTAAATAGATTAATAAAAATATTTTTCTTATTATATTTATACTCCATTTTACTCAATAGAATATTAAAAGATAAGTATAAAATATTAAAATTAAAATTTTAAAATTTTAAAATTAAATGACAAATAATATATATTAAACTATTTTTTTTAAAGCGGAACGACAGAAGAATATGACATCAAGTCTCTGCTCCCTACTAATTATCTGTTCTCTTTATTAATTTTTCTCTTGCTTATTTATTTTTAATGTAAATTTACTATATATTTATTTGATAAAATTAGTTAAGAATTTATAATTAGTTGATTATATTAGAGCTGTTTAGTAAACTAACTAAAATATATTAAATAAATAATTATAAAATATATAATAATATAATTAAATGAGAAAAGAATAATTTAAAATTTGTACCAACATATAATTTATTTAAAACCATAAGAATAAAGATGAGATGAAAATATTAGTAGTTATAAGTTGAATGCTATTTTAACAAGTTTTTCAAAAGTTATTTTTTAAAAATTATATATTTTTTATTTTGTAATTAGTAAATAAATTTGTTAATTTATTAATAAAAAATAAATTATAATCTTCTAGATCAATGATAAATTTGTATTAAATACACTCAGTGTTGGATTAGAACAAAATAAAAGAGAAGAGAGAGAAGATGAAATTTTCATTTTCTTTTAGGAAAGATGAGCCAAAAATTCTTAAATATATTATCTATCCTTCAAAGTTTAAAAAAATTAAAGAAATTTTTTTTATGTTAATACTTAAAATTATTTTAAATTTGATAAACTTACAGTTGCATTTAAATATAAATTTTATTTAAACATTAATTTAATAAATTATTTTTAAATAATGATTTATACTATAAATTTAAAAATAAAAATTATTAAAATAAAAAATAATTTATTTTGATAAGTTATACCAAAAAAATTATAGGAATATCTATTGCACTAATATATTTATTGTCACTTCAATTTATTTTTATGTAAAATATTTTTTTTATTCATACGATTTTAAGAGAGAGAAAATGATATTTTAGACAAAATTAATTTAAAAAGAAAGTAATAAAAATATTTAATTTTTATTTAGAGTTAAATGGAGGGTGGAAAGAGAAAGAAGAAAAAGATTTATTAATAATAATATTTATTTAAAAATTTGTAAATATGAGAGATAATTTTGATTAAATATTTCAAAACTTTTAAAAAATATATATTTTTAAGTTTTTATAAATTAAAAAATAATTGTTAACATTTTTTTTCCTTTCTTTCTCTTCTTCTCTTCTTCAAACTTTTTAATCTCTTCTCTTTTTCCCTCCAAACTCAAACAAAATTTTAAAAGTAATCATAAACACATTCAATTTATTAAAATAAACTAAAAATAATTATTATAAAGTATTTATAAGCTCTTTTTGAATAGATCTTAAATATATATACAACACTAAAGTTATTTATTTTATTTTTTTATTTTTTTATAAACTAAAGGAAATATTTTTTTCTATTAAAAGTTATTTCCTTTTCTGTCATCCTTTAAATAAAAGGCTGCCTGAGAGATGAAAAATTATTTTTTTCACCTAATTATCATATAGGCACAAAGAAAGAGAGATAATATATATATATATATAAAATAAAATGATAAAAAAATAAATGTAAAAAATGTAAAAATATAATAGTTAAACTACAAAATGTCCACTCTACTTTCTCAAAAAGAAAAAAAAAATCTATATTCCGACAAAGGTCAGGGAAGGGGACCAGGGATGCCGTGGTCGCTAGGTATTTCAATTCAACTTTCTTATATAATTTTTAATCAACGATATTTTCAAGCATATAAAAAATATTTTCTCAAGTAAAAAGTATCTTTATTTATTACAAAAATAATATTGTTCATACTTTAAATTTTTCTAATGTTTATTTTAGTTCATTTTATCGCATCATTCATTTTGTTTCATAATTTTTTAATCTTTCTTTATTTAAATTTCTCTTTTTCAAAAATATAAAAATTCCTTTAATTAAAAAGTAGTGTGAAAACAAAATAGTATTATATTTTAAATAAATAAAATAAAAATTCAATTTACTTTCTCTCCCGAAGTTCACCCCCAATGTTTCATTTTCTTGCCTAGTTTTCCATGTCGTCATTTTGTCTTTGGTCGCGATCAGTTGAATCAAAATCACAGCCCGGTTTCAGTACGTACGATTGCTCCCGGCCCCATCATTGATAACTATTTTTTGTTTATAAGCAGTTGGCCTTGACCAGTTGCCTTCGAGTCTCCGTTAAAGTTTGATGCCTATGGTATGTTCATTGCAATTTGCAAGGATAATGCCAAGTTACCATTATTGGGGTGGCCTTCACGAGTTTTTAACTAGGGAGTCATATTTTATCCAACGAACAACAAAGAATCCTAATTCCTAAATCTCTTTTTGGTGACCAATGAAATTGCACTATCTCTATTCTTGGTCGAGTTTTTGTATTATTATTATATTATATATCTCTCTGGGTGTGGTTCTATTTGTTCCCCGTGGCTTTATGCAAGTCCAAATATAACGGCGGGGCCTCTATGCCTGAAAGTCACGCTTTCACACAGCGATGGTAGTTGAAGCAAAAATTAAAGATATAGATAGAGAGGTGGCATTATTTCACAGTGCAAAAAATCGGAAGAGAAAGGAGGAAATTGAACTAGCTAGTCACAAAATGGGGATAGCAGCCGAAGCTCATAACGTGAAAATTTTGGGGTCAGGCACTGAGTATATAGTTCTGGCTCACGGATTTGGCACGGACCAATCCGTGTGGAAACACTTTGTACCATATCTCATCGATGATTTTCGTGTCATTCTTTACGATAACATGGGCGCTGGAACCACCAACCCTGACTATTTCGATTTCGAACGCCACTCAAGCTTAGAAGGCTATGCATCCGATTTGCTTGCCATTTTGGAAGAGCTTAATATTGAATCTTGCATATTTGTTGGCCACTCTGTTTCCGCAATGATTGGTGCTATTGCTTCTATCTCTCGCCCTGATCTATTCACCAAGCTCATTATGGTCTCCGCTTCCCCCAGGTAAAAATTAATTAACTAATTCAAGCTATAACTTCTAAACTGTTATTGTAATGACTTCGACTTCTATTAATGATAATTAGAAGCAAACAACTGACCCGAATTTCCTCTGCGCAAGGTATTTGAACGACGTGGATTACTATGGAGGGTTTGAGCAGGAAGATCTGAACCAGTTATTCGATGCAATGGCAGCAAATTACAAAGCATGGTGCTCTGGGTTTGCTCCACTGGCTGTGGGTGGGGACATGGAATCAATTGCAGTGCAAGAGTTTAGTCGAACTTTGTTCAACATGAGACCAGACATAGCGCTAACTGTGTCACGGACTATTTTTCAAAGCGATATGAGGCAGATTTTGGGCTTTGTCACTGTCCCCTGCCATATCATACAAGCTAAGAAAGACATGGCGGTTCCAGTGGTGATCTCCGAGTACCTGCACCAACACCTTGGTGCTGAGTCCATCGTAGAGGTCATGACAACTGATGGTCATTTACCGCAATTAAGCTCGCCGGATATCGTTATTCCAGTGCTGCTCAAACACATTCATCTTGATATTGAGGCCAGCAGGTAAGCTCTGACGTGAAAGAAAAGAGAATTGCTTTTTTTTTTTTTTATGTATATGTGAAAGAACAAGGGGAATAGACGGAATGGGTTCTCTTCCATGACAACTGTCCCTTTGTGTTTACTGTGCTGTGTGATCTAATTGTGGTAAAGGTGGATAGACTCTCTTGTAGTGGGAATCATGCGTCATTGTCTGTTGCTATGTTGTAGGCATGGATTAATGTTTTTCCTCCTGATAAATTGGGGAACGGTGAGCAGCAACAAAAGAGAATTAGTGTGCTGAATATTTTTAAGGTTTTAGTTAGTTTCAACTTTGTACTGCATGTTTTGTTAACCTAAATTTTGGAAAACAAAAACTTTTATTGCCGTATTTTTTTCTTTGGGTGAGAGAAAAATTAAAAATCAACGACAAAGGAAATTAACAAAAACTTATACAAGAAAATGACAGCAAGCTAATATCTTAACAACAAAACCTCTATTTATTTAAAAGAATTTCAACTTTAGCAATCAATTTAGCAAGTTTATTTCCAACGCGAAACACGTGAACCATTTCAAAAGATTTGACACAACCCATCAATCATGTTTTGGATATGGCATTGGTTGTACTTACTATGGTAAGGGTCATTTTACCTGATCTTGTAATACTGGTTGGTTGTGATTTGAATAATATAAAAACTTGAAATGACATGACAAATCGATAAGATAATTTTATTTTGAGAAAAAATGACAAATTACCCGAACTAAAGTAAGATAGCAGAATAGGTAAGAAAGAAAAGAAAAAAGAAAAGAAAAGAAAATTTAAAATATTGTAGCACACACGTCAACATAAATAAATGTAAAAGTGAGTTTACTCAACAAATAATCATAGTCATTATATGTAAAATATAATATAATTATTTATATAACTTAATATATAAATTTTTTTTAGTAAATCAATGCAGTATATTTAACCTATTCTCAGTCCATCTAATATAATGCAATACCTTAGTTTTAACTGCTTTTATAACTCAAATAATCTAAAAGTAACCTACAATTTTCTGGTCTTAGAGCGACCTATCTGATATCTAGATTTAGACACAACACAACATAGGTCAACATTTTCTTATTGTTATACGTCTAATCACTTAACATGTAACTCAACTCTAGAATGATGCAAATTAGCATAATGCATGACAGTCATATATATACTTTGTAATATTTATCAGCTTACCTCAGCATTATAGATTTGCAGTATATATTAAATCTTTTCAGCACATTATATCATGACACTCAACATGTTATGTTCTATCACAACATTCCAAACATTCATCTCAAGCAAGATTTTTATATCATTTACAAATAATAGATAATCCCACAAATCATGCATACTCTGGGTTCTACCTTAAGATTTGTCCAAATAAATAATAACGGTTATATAGGGTAAACTCTCCTTACCTTGAACTATGTTTTCTTCAAATCTTACTCTTTATGAGTCCTAAAGAGATATACAACACCCAAAAAACTCAGATCTCCTTATTATTACAAAATAGAAAACTCTTAAGAAAAGAAATCAAGAAACAAGTAGTGAAGACAGAGAGTTGAGCTCTAGAAACTCACATAGATCTTGATAAAATAAACGTTCATACTTAAATTGGGAAGGAGTTTGACTTTGAGAAGGTTTTCCCTAAGGGTAGAAGGTGAGAGGATAGAGAAAAAATGAAAGAGGAAAGTTGTTTGGTGAGAAATTGATGTTTTCTATGTTGAGATTCCTTAAATACTCCTTTAGATCCGTGCATTCTCACTTGAGCAAGCTCTACTCTCGCCTGAGTGAGACCATCCTTGCCTAGGCAAGAAAACTAGACAGTAGCGTCTACCCAGATTTTTGCTATTCTCACTTGAGTAAGAAACATTCTCGTCTGGGCAAGAATGAGTTTAGAGAGTTCTTTATTTTTCTTGCGACTTCTCACCTGAGCAAGGTTGCTTCTTGCTTAGACGAGAGGACAGTTAGAATAATCTTATCTTATTTTGCTTTAGCGAGATCGTTCCAGAATACCCAATTTAGCACGACTTAATCTTACTTGAGCAATAAACCTTGCAGTAGAAATCCCATTTTTTCCATAATAAAGGCAGTGCAAATCCTCTACTATAATCCCTATGTTAGCACATGTAGAAAACACCTAATGATTGATCACAACCCCCTCGTTAATTACATAAAACAAAGCAACCACATAGTACTAAATGCACAATTCTTACTAAGCAGCTATACAGTTCACATGTTTCATTTTCTATGTGTGCTAACATAGGGATTATAGCAGATGATTTGTATTGCCTTTATTTTGGAAAAAATGAGGTTTCTACTGTAAGGTTTCTTGCTCAAGTGAGACTAAATTGTGCTGAATTGGGCATTTTAGAGCGATCTCGCTCAAGCAAGATAAAATAAGACTGTTCTAACTATTTTCTCATTCAAGCAAGAAGAGATCTTACTTAGGCGAGAAGCAACCGCACAACACTAAATGCATAGTTTTTACTCAGTAGCTATGCAATCATATATTTCATTTTCATTTTAATGCATGTAATCAAACTATTGCCTTGCCAATTGAAGGAAATACACACACACACATAAAAATAAAGGTTTGACATGATGAGTCATCCTACCATTAACCATATTTTGGTAAACTAAAATATAACATGTTAAGCAAGTTAGAGGTACAAAATATTTAGCTTAACTTACTATTTTTAGTGGGTTTAACTAGTTGGCTGTTAACTTGAATTTGACACCTTTATAAATTTTGTATTTAAATCATTAAAAAATATTTTTTATCGTGGCTAAATAAATGTACAAGTGATAGGAATATTTTATAATAATGAGTTTTGATATATTCTCTTATTTATTTTTAAATATTTTTATTTTTATAAATATTATTAAATAAAAAAATTATTTATTTTTTAGAATATAAAACATAGTTAATATCTTCTTTATTTAATAATTAATAAGATTTAAAAAAAAAAGAGATGACAATTGAAAATTATTCTATGAAATACTTATACCTCTTTTTTTTAATAATTAAACTTAGTACTCTTGTGAACACTAATTAATCTTATGATGATCAACAACTAACTTTAGTCAGATTTATTGATATGCATGAAAATTAAACAGTCAAATTTATTTTTATTTAAATAAAAATTAAACATTTTAAAAAATATTATAAAAAAATAAAAATGAATAAAGAATGAGAAAATAGGAGGAAATGCATGAAACTGAAAGAAAAAGAACAGGACTAAAGACTAAGAATTGGGAAGAGCTGAGAAAGAAAAAGAAAAAAGTTAGAAGAGAAAAATATAAAATTTATTATCAATAAATTAGAATGAGTATTTTTTTTTACCTACTTGTATTATAATAATTCCATTTTTGAATGTTAACAGGAATCATTATTATCTTCAGGAATATGTTTAGATTGCATTTCTAATGTAAAATCTTGACCTTTTTTTTTGTCAAATAACAATGTTTATGCATTTAAAATGGCAAGAAAATTATAATATAATTGTAGATGATATATATATATGCTTGGATTCAACAAAATTCAAGTAAATGCCAAATTTGGATTTCACCGGTAATTTTTAGCAATCAGCAACAATTTACAATCTTACCTACCTCCTATGAAACACGAGTCCTTATAATTTTAAGAGCAAGGATATCATGAAACATAAGCCCTTGTCATTACTTCTAGCGAAAATATAAAGATCAAATAAATAACTGAGCTTATTTGATTTTTTTTATTAATTGAAGTTGAATATCATAAAAGTATTATGTAGTAAAACTCCTTTTGCCAACTGATATAGGTTTTACTGTAAATAAAATCGTATACATAGTAAATAAATAAATTTCCATAATTGTTATTATAACTTTAAAAAGAAGATCTACGCCAATTTAAATTTTTGTTTAAGTAATTAATAATAATGAAATTTTATTTTATTATGTTTTTAATCTTTAATTTAACTAATATTTTAATAAAATATTATATATATATATATATATATCACACATATTTTTTTATTGAAGATAGTTTTATTTAAATTGAGTAAGACACTATAAGTAACAAAACACTTCTAAATATTTGATACAGATACATTTACTTGAGCTTAAAATTTGTTATAAAATTTATTACATTTAAATATTTAAATTCAATTTTAAACACTTATATTAAAAAAAGAATTCTCACAAACAAAATTATTAGTGTGTATTTGTTTTCCTTCCTAAGATCTAGACTACTTTGCTTTAAGAGAAATTTAACCTAACAGAAAGGTGAATTAAAAAAAGAAGACTATGGTGTACGTAGTGTTTTTTTTTAACAGAATATTTCTCTGATACTCTAATTCTTTCCTCTCGTGGTAATTCATCTCTTTCTTATTTTGAAGGTTAGAGGACTTCTTTAAGGCAAGAAAGGAATCAGAACTTACTCCAACCTCATGTTGTATTATTATTATTATTTATTGAAAATTCAAAACTGTTCATTATTTATTATTCTATAAAGGTGATCATGATAAATTTTTATTATTATTTATTAAAAATTCTATAAACTCAACAGGTGATCACAATGTTATCATAAGGTAATTATTTATATTCATTTTCACTGTGGGGCACTTTTTCCTTTTAAAAAGTATTGAAAATTGATTGACTATATTTCACTTAAAAAAATAGTTCAAGGAAAGACGATTATTTTATTTAATATTAAATATTTATAATAGAAATTTTATAAATAAATATTTATAAATGGTTGACATTAAAATTTAATAAAGTATGACATAATGCAATAATTAATTGAACTTAAGAGCAAATCTATAAGCAAGAAAAATTACTATTCAAAAAAATTTCTTAACTAAAATTTAATAGCTAAATGTTATAAGGTAAAGGCTTTAGGTGGGATTTCAAGGAGGTAATTTATAATCTTTTAAAAATATATTTGTGCTACTGTTTTTTTAAACATAATACGTATAGTAATCTTATTTTTATTTTATATTAAAAAGACATAAAAATAATAATTATGTCACATTTTTATTTAAAAAATAAAACATTTAAAAATATTTTATTTAGATATTATTTTTATTTTAATATAAGAATTTGAAGTCTTAAAAACTTGCAAATACATGTCCTAAAAATATAAGCGATTGATAATTTATCCACAAAACTCAATTTTTTGGAAGAAACATAATATGCTACCTTTAAAAAAATTGTTGTCACACATCCTTTGATGTGGGCATAATCATCTCCCTCTGAATGTCACAAGCATATTGTATTAAACCTCTAAGTTGCATCACAAGAAAATTTGAAAGAATTTATAACTATTGTATATTTTTTAATTTAATTTTAATAATTTTTTACTGTATTCTATTAAATTAGTTAAAATAAAATTTATTATTAAATATATATTATAAACTTTTGTTATGATAAATAAATCTAGTTGTTTAGTCCAACAGTATGCATATTTATGAGAAAACTTCGTCGATAAACTCTATTATTTATCGCCAAATAAAATTATTTTTATGAAGTGTATTAATTTTTAATATATTTTTATAATAAATATAAAATAAATTATATATTTATAATCTTAAGAATATAATATTTAATGATGAAAAATTTTATATAAATAAAAATTAAGAGAATTTTAAATTATTTTTTTGGTCAAAAGTTTTAAATTATTCTTATTCGTTATCTCCAACCCGAACCGAAGGCTAACAGGGCTGTGCTACAAGCCCGTGGTCTTGGGCCGACTAAACCTTTCGGCG